TAGGCCCTCAGACTTCCTTGTTATCTATTGTTTGATCCTTACTTCCTAGCAATGAGTAATGATCTTTACCTGAATTCTTATGCAAACGAAACCAATGAAAAGCCTCTCTGGCAGGGGAACGGGACGCTCCCCACTAGAGAGAGTGGCCATTCCGTTCTTACTTCCCCACAGGACCTTGTTGTCTGTGTGTATGTTTTTCTCACGTGTCAATGAGCCATCCGCAGCATTCTGCGGTCACTGCCGGTCGGTGATCGTGTCATTTGGGTGCTTAGATTGAAAGATTTATTACTCCAAGGAGAAAGATGAAGCTGTGGTTAAACAGATTCAAAGTCTCTGAAGCCGGCCAAGCTTTCAAGAAATAAATTTGCAATTTCACTGTGAAGGCAAAATTTCTTCAGAGTCTTGATTTACACTGAACACAGATTGCGAGTCAAATGGAAACAGAATGGAGGCACCTTTCCGAGACTGACACATGGATGAATGCACACAACCCACTCGTGACTTGAAGGGCCCCGTTGTCAATACAGGCTTAGCTGCGTCTGGCTTTTCTGGAAAATATTAAGATAGCACATCTCCATGCCATTTTCATAATGTAGGTCCACTGTATTTAAATTATAATTGTCAGCTTTGTAAGTCTGATTTGCTTGACAAATGCAAAATATTAACTAGGTAGTAGATGTGTGTTTGAAAGTGACATTGCTCATAGTTTTAAGGGCCACAGGTTCTAAGCAAAGACACTTAGGATACATGCATATTTGCAACAAATTCTTACTTCTCGAATTCAGATAAGGATGTCTTCGAATAAACTCAAACTCAGGACAGGCTAGTATTCGTTTATTATTTGTTGGGGGGGGCTAGTAAAAATCTTCCTTTTAGGTAACAAAATAAGAATTAAATTTGAAAGATTTAATCTTAGCTCCCCAACTCCTTTGTTTCAAACAGACTTGATTATTAGCTAAAAAGAAGAGTATTTTAATGATTGAAGCCATGAACTTAGTCTGCAGTTTTAATATACATTGCAATATAGGTTGGTAAAAATCAGAATACCAAAACACGAGGTATTAGAGGCAGTTCTTAGTCAAGAGCATTCAAAATCATTTTGTTTGCAGACAGTTGGAAATTTAAGTTGTACTGAAATAGAAATTAATTTGTGTGTGTGAAAACTTCATGAAATTGTTTTAAAACCTTAAAAAAACACCATCTTTTCAGAACACCAAACTAGTTTTACACTTCTAGGAAACGAAAGTGGCTAAGTCAAGCACAAGAATGACTGCCTGTAGGTGGTACCATTCAGGCCAGTACCTGTGAAAGAGAGCGGGGCCATAAGAAAGGGACAGGTATCCTTGTGTTGCTGCCATAAGAAGTGTGCAACAGGGCGAGTCAGGGAGCCACGCATGCCACAGCTTTGGGGGCAGTCCCACCACATCCCAGTGAGAGCCCTTTGTCTCCTGTGATCTCAAGCTCTTAACTCTAACCTTGGACCCTGGTGGGAAATGCTGCAGGAAACATTCCAAGTAGCAGAAGCAACTCAGTGCCATGGCTCTTGGATACTGTGTTCTCAGGCGATTGTTGACACCAAGCCTTCACCACAGAGTTGGCAGCCCTGAGCCAGGGGGCCTTCCAGACCCCAGTCCCCAATGAGATGACCTGCCCCCTGGCCCACTGTCTACTGAGGCAGCCTCAAGACACCAGCACCTCCTGCCTGCACACAGGCATGTTTGCCAGGACAGCATCGACCCAGGCTGTGGGGGCGGCAGCCCGTGCCCACCAGGAGCTCCAAAACACTGTGGCCCCCACCCCATTCATCTGATAACAGGCTAGATGAGGCTTCAGAGGACTATCTAGGGACTTGAGGTTCATACTAGAGCATTGGTTCCTGTTCATTCCTGCTCTATGGAAGATTATATGAAGCTTCACACACATCTATTATCAATATTCAAGAAACCCACCCCAAATGCATAGAACCATGGGACTTGGAGAAATATAGAAGTGAAAGCAGATTTTCCCAGTCTTTTTTTATTTCCCAATAAGCTTTCAATTCATCTTATTAATCACTTCTCTGAAACACCTTGGGTTTGGATCCTTAATTTTCCCCCTGTGCAGCCTCACTGCTTATTACTAGAGGCAATTACAATGTTTCTCTTTCCACTTACTTTCATCATTTCATAGAACCTGAAGTAAAGGAAGATCACAAACTCTGTCCAACCTGATTCTCACAAAGTGGGATCTGGGGAACTCTAGGCAGACATCAAGGTCCATTTGAGCATATTGCTGGTCTTACATACTTCACACAGTATATATAAAATAGTGTTGTCATATACTCTGCACACATGTGCACTTCTTACTGTATGATATGTACACATTCATATAGATCCATTTCCATACATATATACATATAGATATACATAAGTGTATATATTTTTTATTTTACTAGGTAATTTAGTCCAAACATTAAAGAGTAGAAAAAAATAGGTTCTGGGTAAAAGAGTCCCTCTCCACTCTGGTCCTCTGTCCAGAAGACACTGGTGTCTTCTGTCATTTTCCAGAGATGTTTTTACATTAATATAAGCAAAGTGAGGTATTTTTCCTGCCACCCTTTTATATCTGCAAACAGAAGCTTACTAAGCATTGTGTTCTGTGCCTTCCTTCTTTTACTTATCAGCATATCTTAAGGATCTTTCCATGTTGATGCAAAAAAGTCCTCTGTTCACTTATATAGCTGCATAGTATTCCTCTATGTAGATTAATGAAATACGAATCTTTTAACTCAGTCATTGCTGATGGACACTTGGGTAATTACAATCTAATTTTTCAAATGTTAGGAACAATGTTAATTAGAAAGAAATAACATTTTAATGTTAGAAATAAAATACTATTAATTAAAATATTAAAATAAAGAATAGATATGTCATTTCCGTGTATATTATTTTTATGTAAATAAAATTGCTTGGTTGAATGTAAATGCATTTGCAGTTCAAATGGAAATTGCCAAGTTGCTCACAGAGAATTTTTATCAATTTCCCTCTCCACTAACTATGGTTGAGAGGTACATCCTCATAGCATCACCTGCAGAGGGCCCTCCCCACCGTTCAGAATTTGTCCATTCACAGGTGAAACTGTCAGGAACTTCCTCTTCCATTTCTCCTCTGTGAGTGAGGGTCAGGGTCTTGACTTGTGTGTAAGAGGCATGTGTGCTGGCTTATCTGTAAAGTCTGTCCAGCTACTTGCTGTCTGTGAGTCTTTTTCTCATGGGTCTTCATATCTTATTACTTATTAGAAAGGTAAGCTCTTTGGCAGTAATCTGACTTAAAAACCTTATGATATTCTCTCCATGAACAAAAATTTTATGTTTAAGTACTCATATTTATCAATCTTTCTTTTTTGGCATTTGGATTTACATCCTAACTAGAAAAGATTCCCCACCTTTTTTTTCTTCCATTGTTTTCATAATTATTCATAACAAATCTTTCATCCACTTAGATCTTTACCTTTTTCTGTGGGGAGGTCTGAAGCCAGCTCCTTCTTCATTTCCTAAGCCCCCTCAGGCAGCACCTGGAATTCTCCCCCAGCTCCTCACTGATTTCAGACATGCTGTTTGTCTTCTGTGAAATTCCCTGACTTACTGAATCTATAATAGATCTAGTGTCCGGTAAGTCTAGTTCTCTTCATTGCTTTTGTGTTTTTTAGACTTTTAATAAATGTTATTTTTATTCTGTTTACTTTGGACAATAATGCTGCACTCTCTGGGGGTTACGGTTTTTCTGTGCTTTTGGGGAGATTCATTGCCCTTCCCTTCTCCCATCACTCCAAGTTACAAATTGTGTCCCCAGAGAGTAGCACTCACTCGGGGCGGGGGGGGGGGGGGGCCCAGGGAAACTCTGAGCCAGGATGTGTGGGTCTGTGCGAGCAGGCACATGTCTGAGATGGGAGGTACACAGCATGGGGCATTGAGGAAGTTCTCCCACAAGTCTTGGGGTAGAGGCTGTTCAGAGGACATGTAGCTGCCCAGGATGACTGCCCTTGTCCCAGGCCTGTGACAGGAAGAGGAGACATTCCTGGTATTCTGTCCCCAAAGTTCACTGTCCCCTCAGCTTCCAGGCTCTCTGACGTTTTACATCCCCACCTATTGTGAGGGCATGCATGAGCACACAAGCACATGCAGACTCCACATACAAACTAAACACAATCCGTGTATCACACATATCACACACTCCACATACATTTTACACATACACACTATTGCATGTCTACACACAATATACAACCCCATGTATGGACCAAACACACACACACTCCATACACAGTCTACACAAAATCCACATATCACACACACCACCCACTACACATATATTATCCACACATCCATACACTTACAAAATATACACACACGCTGCTCACACACAAAAAACACACAAAACACACACATACACAAATGAATAAAAAATCAAAGTACATAATGCTCCTGTTTGCTGGGCTTGATGGCCTCTGATAGTTTCTATTTTATTCTACTCTGTTCCTTTCTATTTGTTCTATTATATCAAAAAAGCTGCCCCTGTTGCCTCACTTGATTTCTGAGATGCCTTGTGAAGGGTGGAGGGTGCTGCTGGCCTGTGGACACTGTGCCCACTGAGTGACACTTATGGTCACCTGTCACTGGTCACCCCACCACCCAGGTCCCTGGTCCCACTGCTGACCTGGATTAGTTAACTCTTAGCTTGGTTTTTAGAGACTGATCGGGTCTTCACACATCAATGCACAACACACACCGGCGTGCAAAAACAAAACAGAACAAAACAAAAAACAAATTTCTCTTCTGAAACGGGACACCTGAAAGCTCTGGCAAGCAACCACAGACTCTTGTCTCTCTGATCTGGCCACGCCCCCTTCCTCCCAATTCTCCACCCTCTAAAAGCCAGGCTGTGCACCTAAAGGGCTGGCCCGGTTGTTTGTTGGGGTTTGTTCCTCCAGATGGACAGAAATAACCTGGGCTGAAAGGACATGCAGGACACGGAAATTACAGCGACCTTCATAACTTAGTAGCTCCATGGCCAGCAATTTGTGAGAGCTCTCAAGTGAGGGGCCTGCAGGCGTCCACCGCCGGGGGGTCATCAAGGAAAACATCTGGAAACAAAAAAAGGAAAGGTGGGACGGGTCTGCGTTTGTCTTGCGTTCCTAGATTTCCTTCTTGTTTTGTTTTTTAAGGAGCTGAGCTACGGAGCCGAGCGTTCTATTCTTTCCTAGAGGTAGAAGGAAATTGATGGCCAGAGGGAAGCGGGTGGAGGTGGGCAAAGGAAAGGAAACAGGGGCATCTGTAATAGTGTAACAATAAATATTAAGTGAAAAAGGGCCTTTCTAAAGTTTTAAAATTTCAGATCCCCAAATGGTGGCTGCTTGTCAGTGTATCTCTGAGAAGTTGTCTTTTAATCGCTCTATTTGATATTGGATATATGGTCGTCAAATGTTTACATTAAGAAGTATACAGTAAGCCCTCACTTTAGAAGCAAATTACCAGCTGGGCACCGTGAGAACAGGCTCAATCTGAATATTGATGATCTCATTTCCAAGTCTCTCCGGGGCTGGGGGGGTGAGGTGTTGATCATTGCTTCTTACTGATAAGCAAAATATTTCCAGAGCGTGAAGAATTCTGTGGTGTGTGAAGAGGATAACCATAATCTGCATCCACAAGCTAACTTCTCTGCCGCCGTTCGCCTGGACGAGCAGACCCAGTGATGCTAAGCTCTCTATTAGAGTCGTGCCTGCAAAAGGTCCCCTCATTTGAATAAGGCCTCTTCTGCATGTGAAAGACTGCCAGTGAAACTGAGCAGCCCTCTAATTAGGGTTGCACTTGGAAGCAGGGGCCTTCAGTGTTCCCTTTTTGTGATGCTAAATTGTCAAATATTTTCAAATGCATTGCCATTTCCATTAAACATTTTTGTTCTAATTTTTTTAAAGGGGAATGAATGACCTGCCCACTATAGAGAGTAAGCGAGTGGATGGATATGGCCACTGAGGTGATGGACAATTTAAATCTCCCTGTCTGATGAAATGTAGAAGTATGTTTAAATATAGGATTAGATTTATAATATAGGAAGCAGTCAGGAGATCAAAAGGCTCATAAAGTCATGCCAAAAGGAAGTAAAGAGCTGCAGGGGAATTTTTAGCTAAATGATTAACAGTGCTTGCAATGTATTTTATCCCATCTGACTTTAGAATAAAAGTAAACACGTCCAGTGGCAGTGCAACTGGGGGTGGACCAGTGGCTGGGGTCGTTTCAGGTCTGGGCCCTGTGTCCGGCGCTCACAGAAAAATAGACATTGGCTTAAATGCAGGCTCTAGGGCAGGTCCTGGGGACTGGACGGACTGGTGGACATTCACATGAATACGATTTGTGACGTCTCTATCTTCTTTCTCCCTGTGTCAACAGCCACAACAAAGCAGGCTACACCTGCTAAGAGTCTGCCCACTTGGGAAGGACAAATTTGGGTTTTTTTGGAAGGTGGTTCAGCAACAGAATCAAACAGGAGCCTGGGTCCAGGGATACCCGGGGACACCTAACTTTTGAGACCTCCTAGCAGGTGCACCTGTCTCAGAAACTCAGCCCTGCTCTTCACTTTTCAGCTTTTAATAAGATCCTTTTAACATTTCCACATGTCTGTGAATGTGTTTATGTCTGAAAACCTCCATGTGGGCAGCAATTGAGACACTAACATAAAATGACTCAGAGTAACTCAGTGATTCACCCAAGATTAAGTCTCATTTTTATTCTTATATTAATGTGCCATACTTCATATTTTATTTGTTCACTCATAGAGAGTTTCTCCCTCTTTGTTGCTCTTATACTTATCTTAACATTTTATGAAAGTAAAAATTTTAGAAATTGAACCTTTGATATCAATAAAGACCATTTATTTCTGTTTAAACTCATATTTGTATAACTATTTTTAATAACATATTTTAGGAATCACCCCTTATATTAATAAGCATACCACCAGTCATTATAGACATTCTATACCTTCAACCCCCCCGTGCAGCTTTACAGATTCATTTTACAGTGTCTGTCCTGCCCCTACCCCCTACCCCAGCACTTTAATGAATTTAAATGCTTACAAGTCTATTTCCACTTTAGGAAATTTAAAAGATGTTTCACATAATGTAAGATACAAAATTGTCAGTCAATTCTGGAAATATTACAGCAGCAATAACAAGAAGCCATTTCTATGCACAGGGAAAGGTTGGAAAAAGCCACAGAAGGTACAATTCACCCATGTGTCTCTCATGGCTCTAGCCATTACGTGAAATGGTACTTGTCTATCCATGAAGGCTCCATGGCCCCAGGAGAGATGGTCCAGAACACACACTTCTGAGCAAACAGACCTGATTCATATCATGGCTTCTCTATTTCCCAGTTGTTTAACATTGTGGCATCCCTTTCTCTCTGAGCCTAGATTTCTTCAAATGGGGATATGGCAGTAGAACCTTGTGTTCATTCATGGAAAGAAAGAATGTGATAGGTGGGGCCTTGGGCTGGGACAATGGACACTTAATTCCTGAGAATACTCATGACCATGTTTTTCCCTGACGTGTCTTTAATGGGTATATTCTAAATATATTTAGGACAGAATCATATTCCTAAAACCATGGGTCTCCCATGAAGCTTTCTGAAGCCTTCAGAGAGGGTACTTTTAATATATTTTGAATAGTCTGGAGGGAGGGAGGTTCACTAAAAACCATTTTATAATTTTTAGTCACTGACTGATATTTAAATAGTCTAATGCTGAGATGAGTAAATCCTAGTCTGGACTTGGGGAACCTGAGTGAGAGAATGGGAAGGAGAAGCAGGAATGCCTGTGGGCTGCCTCAGGGCTCCCAGGTGCTGGGCTGCTGTGCAGTTTCACCATGGGGGAGGAGCACAGGTGCACACTTGGCTTCCTGTATCTCAAGGCAGTGTACTCAAGTCAGACTGGAATACCGTGTACAAGCTGTGCTTCAGATGGAATGTGAACTCATTGTGTATTGTTCCCAGAGGAAGTGGTTTTGACTTGTAATAATTCCCTAGGTGACACAGCCTATGGTGGGAAACAAAGAGATGAGTTATGCAAACAGTCCTCTCTCCTGTTCCCCAGAAACTCTAGTTCGATTCCAAATGCCCACTTATTCTATGATTAACTTTTAGGCCCAATTCTTGGTAAAGTTATGAGCCAATCCCAGGTTGTTGGTTTCTCTCTTGTCACTTCTCAAGAATGAATATAATGACCTGATATCTGCAGAGTCCAGCATAACCTAGTTCGTTACCACCAGATTGTGGAGGTCAGCAGATACCCTCCCAGAAACATCTTTACAATATTTTTTTAAAAGTTGACTTTATAATAATATTAGTAATTTTTTATTTATAAAGATAATAAATCCATAGTGGATTCAAATTCTCCACATAAGGTTAGAGTCTAGTAACATGGTCCTGAACATTTATTGTTCTCTGAGTCACCTCTTTGCTTTACTTTCCTAAAGAAACATGGCTGTGCCTCTCAGAACTCATTACACCATTGTGCATGGTTGTGGGTTTGTTCCTTTTTTATTTCTTGGCTGATGACCTCTCTTCATACTTTGAACCACCTTAATGCTAAGAGGTGAAAATGATCAAATGTACAGTTCACAACCTTCAACCTTCAGTGCTGTATCCTAGGTAGGTTAATATCCATCTTCCAGAGCATTCAGTGCTACATAAAGTTCGTTGTTTTTTCTTGACTCTTTGTTGTGCAATGTGACTGTTACAGTTTTGTTTGTGCCATTGTCATTGTTGATAATGACCATGTAGGTGTGTGGGGCCCTTTTGTTTCCTAGGGCCCCAGGGATGTTTCCTTAAGACACTCTGTTGAAAACTTTGCAATTCTTTTCCTTGGCTTACCAAACAAAACACAAACTGCTGTCTGACCACAAAGGTGACAGATAAATTCCAAGCTGCGATGGGTCCTTAGGCAAGATCCTCACCATCCTGGGTCTCAGTTTTATCTTCTGGAAATCAGAAGTTATATGACAGATGTGAAGTTTCCTCCCTGCTCAGATCTCAGGATTTTCATTGAGAATCAATTAATATCACTTCATTATTCTTGTTACCATGTGAGAAAGCAATCCTCCCGTGAAAATGATTTTTTCAGAAATACTACTATTAATAATACACAGACAGTTAGCATTTTGTCTCTCAGATATTTTTCTCATTCATGCACTAACAGTGTGCACACTCACGCAGTAGACATCAGCTGTGTGCACCACAGGAGAAGATGAGAAGGAACGTTAATTGAGTGTTTACCCAGTGCAGGTCTATGTTACCCTGAGGTGGACACTGTTGACACCCTCCAGTTGCAGGTGCAATGGGTTAAGTGGTGTGGCAGGGTGGTCTGATGTGGGAAGCACTGTCTTAGCTGCTACACAGTCTGCCTACAATGTGCAATGACAAGTGACATGGAAGACACTGAAGAAGCACTCTTGAGAGGATGATAGCCTGGTTGACTCTTCCATGATGCCAGATGGCCTTCAGTGTGTCCACATTGGGTCCTTCTCACTGCAAGCCCTTGAGCATTATTCCAACATCAGCCCCCTACCCATCTCCTCCTCTTCCTCAGGGATGGCTGGCCTCCTGCTTCCCCAAGAAAACAAAGAACAGTGAGGGAGCTTTAGTTCCCTACTCTCCAGCTGTTCTCCGGCCTGGTTCTTATCACAGCCAGGTTCCTCCTGTAACTGAATCCCTCTCCACTTGTTTCTCAGCCGTTGTTATCAGTCAACATCTATCTTTTCTTTATCTCCTACTTCCCCTCCTCTCTGACCTTCACTTCACACCCTGTAACATAGCCGAGTTTACCACACTCTGAAAGCTTTTCTCTCAGCTACACATTTTCTCTAATAAATGTTTATGTTCACTTCCTTTTGTAGGCAATCCTGTTCAAACCATGATCTTGGTTTGAACAGGATTGCCTACAAAATCAGGGTAACTCCCTGCTCAGGGTAACTCCCTCCCCTGCTGTCTGCCTCTGCTTTACCACTGTATGTACAACTTCTGTAGATGTACAACTTCTTGGTCACCATCATCTTAGTCTGTTCTCTGCTCAGCCTGTTCTCTTTCTTCTAGATTCTGCATTATATACTGAGTTATTCTTGCAGGCTGTCCTCTGGGCTGCCAAAACCCTGGACACAGCTTCCTTTTGCCTCTGGACCATTTGATATTGATACATTTGACTAGCGACTATTCAGCTCCTGTTACATAGCAGGCACTGTTCCAGGCAGAGGAGATATGTCAGTGAAGAAAATAGATGAAATTCACTCTTTTCATCATTTTTTTTATTTTAGTGGAAGGAGACAAAGTCAATAAACAATGATTGTGGTAGATAAATAAATTATATAAAACATTATAGAAAATTATAAAGGCCATAGGGAGATATAAGACAAGGGGACTATGGGGCAGGGTGGTAGGGTTAGATCTCAGGGTAAAGTGGCTCCTGTAAAAAATAGAGAGCTAAGGAAGTGAACAAAGTGGTCACACTGGGCACAACCCATCCAAGGTTCTCAGCAGGACCTTGACTGGCAACTAGGAGCTCACGTGAGGCCCATGTGGCATAGTGGGAGCAGGCTGAGGTGGCAGAGCAGGGATGGTGAGGACCAAGGGTTGGGGAATGCCAGCTGTGCAGGGCCTCAGGGTAACTCCCTCCCCTGCTGTCTGCCTCTGCTTTACCACTGTATGTACAACTTCTGTAGATTTTATCTTCATCCAATCTCTTAAACCTCTCTGTTGTTCTCCATTACCATCTCTATGACCCTAGTCACTCTCTTCCTTAAAGTTAAAATTGAAAATTTTTAATGTCTTTTGATCTATCTCTCACATTTCAGCCTGAACAATCTCTTCAACATGTAATTCTGATCATGGAGCCTCCATAACTATTTCATGCCCTTGTA